GTCTGTGGTGGTGTGTTTTTATCTAGTGCAGCATCAATTGCAGCCTTTTCTTTTCGCTTTTCTTCGTCTAACCAATTTTGAATAGATTCTGCATCAGTTGGTTCAGCTGGAGTTGGAGACGGTGTTGGAGCTTTAGTTGGTGTTGGAGACGGTGTCGGAGCTTTAGTCGGAGTTGGAGATGGAGTAGGTGCTTTTGTAGGTGTCGGTGATGGAGTTGGAGATGGAGTTGGAGGTACTGTTGGTTCTGGAGTTGGTTCAACAGTCGGTGAAGGTGTTGGCGCCTTTGTGATTCTTGGAGTTGGCTCTGGTGTTCTAATAGGGGAAGCAGTTGGTGTATTAGCTCTTTTAAGAACCTGTGATCTTTCCGCTTGATTTGAATCAGATACTGGGTTAGTTGTACTAGGATGTGATACAGGAGTTATTTTTGGTGTAGGTGTTGGTTTATTTAATGTTATACCATGACTACTCGACATTGGTGGAGGACCTGCGTGAGCAGTTGGTGTCAGAGTTGGCGTTGGAGCTACTGTAGGAGTTGGCGTTGGAGCTACTGTTGGTTCAGGAGTGGGAGTTGGTGTTGGAGCTACTGTAGGAGTAGGTGTAGGAGTTGGTGTTGGAGTCGACATTTGTTTTAACCTCTCATTATACCAATTCTCCAAATAATAAGCCTCACCCATTAAGTTACTCTGTCTTTGTTTTATAGAAAATTCACCTAACAGTAATTCATCATGAATCATTTTCTGCAGCTTTGTCGTGTTTTCTACTTCCTTTATTAGAACGCTCGATGTATTCGCCAATCCTCTATATTCCTTAATCATCTTATCTAGTTTGTTCATATTTGGTACTTCCTTTTTCTTCTCAGCGTTAATCTCATTAGATCGTTTCTCCAATTCTTCAACTACTTTGTAAAGCTTATTTATCTTGACATGTGATTCCTTTACTTCTCCAGTCCTTGGATCCTTAGGTTCCTTGTATTTAGCTAATTTCGTCTCTATATATCTTCGTTTAGCGTCATATCCAGGATCACTGGTTCGTAAAGGATGCGAAGGTGGACGAAAATAAGGTATGTAGAAATCTGGATCATCATTAATAGAAGAACGTGCTTTAAAGTTACGAACCGCGTCTGTAAAAGGGTCTCTACCACGTGCTGTATATGTTGATGTAATCAAAAAGCCTTCTCTTCTCATTGGGAAATTAATACGACCTTTTTGAACATATTCTTTCTCAAAGTATTGCCTAGCATTGTAATCAAAAGCAAGATCATTATATATATCGCGCAAAAAATCAAATGTATGCTGCTTGAACTTTTGATCGCTAATTATGGTACGAATTATCGGACGTTCATTCTCCCATTTCTTAACTCGTTCATCAATGAGTTTCCTCTCTTGTTCACTCATTTAAACCTCATAAAAATATATTATCTGCGTATAGTGCCACTAATAGCATTAATCCATGGCATGTCTGATAGTACACGTACTGACTGAACTAATGGCTTATGATTGTTCCAAATAGCTCCTCCAATGTATGCGTTATACTTATTGTTGTCAATAGTTTGTTGAGGTTGAACTATAGGTGTTTCAACAGGCTTGTCTCTACTGAAGTCACCACCAAGAGCTTTATTGAATGCTTTAAGATTCTTCGTTAATGCATTATCTTCACCTAATGTAGTTTTTGCAATTCTTTCACCAAGACTACCGATAACACCACCGACTTGACCAACTTGAGGGAAAAGTTTGTTAGCAATGTTAAATCCAGCACCTATTACAAGACCAGGATTTTTTTTCACCATACCCCATCCAGCTTTAACATAATCGCCAAAACCCATTTATTTCTTCTTAAAATAATGTCATCTTTTGTTGCTTAACTTCTTTAAAGTCCGTCTTTCCTGCAACTATATGAACTTCCATATATGAACGAGGTGTTGGTAGCTCTTTGTATTTGTTCCATAACTCTTCCCAATCTTCTGTTGCTCCTGACTGTTCAATCATTGACTGAAAGTCTCTCATAGAATAACCTTGAAAGATAACGAAGTCAGTGCATAGTCTCTTAATGTTTAAACATATATGTCTCCATGTTTGACACATGATGACAACAGTATAGTTATAATGTCTGACCTTAGTGATGAAGTTCGCTAATGGTGAACGTGGGTCATTCAATAAGTCATGACCACCATAATCGTCTAACACTAATAGAGAATTACTGGGATACTTTGTGAAAGGATATTTGTTCAACTTCTTTACAACATATATTGCAATCTTCTTATACTCAAACTTTCCATCAGGTTTCCTTAGTTGATGCTTTGTTAAGATGTGTTCCATCTCCTCTGAAATTTTTTCGAACTTACTTTGAACGAACTCAACAATAGCGTAATACTTTGCTTTCATCTTAACGTTCTTCATTAAATAAGGCATAAGTTCTTTATCATCCTTTTTCAGTACTGGTGCTTTAACTTGACTCATAAATGTCTTCGCTGTTTTATCCATTGTTCCTGATGTTGCTGAGATAACTATTGAGTCATAATATGGAGTATTAGTGAAGCGGTCTGTTATCATTATATGACGAATAACACCATATGTCTTACCTGAACCCATCTTACCGCAGTAGAAATAAACACCATTAGTACAAAATGGATAATCATCAGAAAATGGCATAATGAGTGCATTGTTTAGTTCTTTACTATTCTTACGTGCTCCATCATGAAGAATCTTATCTACTTGATTAATAACTTTCTCCATCTTTTAGTTACATATAAAATGTCTAAATATGATGGATTATACTATGAACATGTTATGAATGATGGCACGATAAGTGGTAATACAGTCTCATATAAATTACCGAGAGACTTCATTGAATATCCTGCGTCAAAAGCTCTTGAGATAAGAAAGATAAGTCTTGAGCATCCAGACTTTGAGTTTCTTGCTATTCCATTAGAAATGACAGATTCATCAAAATCAGTGAAAAAAAGGTTTGACATGAGATATTACATAAAACCCAACATGACTACACAGGAGTTGAATGAAGGTCTTATGGAAAAAATGACTGAGGCAAGTAGAGAATTTGTTGATTGTTACTATGATTCAAATGAAAATAAATTGAATGTATTAAGAAAAGGTACATCACCAATCATAACATTACCTTCATACAGTAGTATAGAAAAAAATGCCTTGAATTATAAATATGACATGTCCCTAGGAGATGTGTTGGATTTCATCACTGCGTTATTAGAAACCACTGAAACAGACACAACATCAAGAAAACCAGAGCTTGTTTGGGAAGATGACCATGGTAGAACATTCACGCAAAAAGTAATTCCATCGAAAGCAAAATTTTTAGACTTATGGGAAAAAAAATATATCTCGCGAATGCATGTATATTATAGTTTTACCATAGCAGATTTCACTGACGAAAATGATAAAGATAAAAAAACATATAAGTACTTTGATGAGCTTTTCATAACTATAGCGAATATCAGGTTTATCCTTGAGCGAAAGGGCAAACCAACATATAAATTTGTCGGTTATCAGATAAGAATAAATCCTCTCCTTGAGCCTTTAGTAACGTTGAGTAATATTGCTCATGATAACAAACAATTTATATGTAATGTGAATGAACAGCTTGTGCCACCAAAATTTTACGATATCACTGGTTATAAAGATGCACTCGTGTTTGAGTTTTATAAGCGCTTTTCATTCAAAAGAGTTGAAGAATCAACTGATGGTCAAAAAAAGGAATATTATGTAAAAGAACCATATGAAATTCCTAAAGACTCTAATATAATGGTTGAACTTATATTAGAGTCTGGTACTCAATCTCAACATAAATAGTTTACGTGACAGAATTTTTTGACACGTAAAGTTTACATTTTAATGGAAGCGAACAACAAAGCTCCTGCTAAGCTCTTGCCATCCAGAAGCCAGAGGTGACTGAAGAACAGTCCTCTGGCGACGAGGAAATATTGATGGGTGGCGAGAGTCCGAAGACCGAGATCAAGATCCCAGATCTCGATCACAAGCAAACGGCAAAGAAAACGGGTCCACGAGCTACTCCTCGAGAGCTACGTTTAATCAAGACCAGCCACAAGTATTTGAAGCAGCTGGAGGAGTCAAACGTAGCTCTCGAGGAACTAAAGCTCAAGCTGGCTGAAAAAGTAGAGGAAGCGAAAGGTAAAGAGCTCTACATCAGCCAGCTTGAGTATAAAGTTGACTCTTATGCCAACGAGATCTGCGATCTTCGATCTCGTCTCAACCGTGTGGGACATGAGTCAGACAGCTGGCATGAAAGGTTCCTTAAGGCTGACACATCCTACCATGAATTAAAGCGCGCCATAAGGAACTTAGCCACTGACTTCTGATCCCTCCTCTAAACCACGAATAAACACCTAATTTTACTACTATAACTCTTATTTTTACTCATATTACTCACATATATCCTCATATAACTTATAGTTCATTGTCACTCAGATCACGATCTTTGTGATCACGATCAACTTAGGAAAAGAGAAAAAGTATAAAAGTTAGTATAATTAATTGTTTAGTCTTAAGTAAGCTTATTGTTCATCAAGGAGTTGATGTAAGCGTTTCTTTGCCTCCGTGATCTGCTTCTTTTATAAGCTTACAGTTAAGCCAACAGCAGAGTCTATTAAATATACTGAGAAACCAGTGTTATGCTTCTTACGTCACGTTTGCCTCTCCATACAGATTAAACAGGTGGGACCACCTATCGTACTTCTCGACGATTATGATTTATCAGCCCCTGCTAGTGAATAAAGGTTAGTTTACATATGAACGTTTATTTTTACACATATATGCGTACATATGCGCGCCCGTATGGTGTCAGTTTTCTGTCACTTTTTTCATTGTGTCGGTGCCTGTAGCTGTAGGCTACAGGCGACGCACAATGTATACTGTACTATTAATATTGAAAATAAACATATCAGATTAAAAAAGACGTAATATTTTATAAAATAAATCCAAACAAATAAAAATATAAAACAAGTTTTGATGTTAAGCGGCTCCAAATACATTAGGTTCTCTAAATATGTCATCAATGATCTTTGTTCTTCTTGTTGGAAGCCATGAAAGTAATTTCATGTATAATGACCATGATAAAGCCCATAAATACTCACCATCGTTTGAAGATAACGTCAACATCTTTCGGGCTTCTTTCATTGCAGGCAAAATCTCATTTATATATCCACGAAGCTTTGATGGAACAGAAATTGCTTTTTCAGGTGAATTCTCATCAAGATGAACAACAAATTTTGTGTAGTCAATTAGTTCGCTTTCAAAAGGAAAACGCATTGCGTTGTTATATACAATAGGAATTGTTAATGAATTTAATGCGTCGTAAAACTGTTGTGCCATTGGAGTTTCGCATGCAGATACAATTGCAAACCTGTGAGTTTCAATTCCAGCTATTGCTTCTTCTTTTGTTTTGTAAATATCAAACTCTGAATTTTCTATAAGTGCATCTTTTAATTGGCGCCTAATTTTTGCATTTTCTGGTGTACAATTGTCTGTTGATACGTCAACAGCTACTTTATCAATCTTTGTGGAAACATCGTCAACGAATTTTGTAAATGGATGTAACGGGAGCACAATATTCTTTGCAAACACCCAAGTCTTAACACTCTCTCCTTCAACTACAAATCCTTCTGTCAAAATATGACCAGGATGCTCTAAAAATGTAGTTTTCGTTATTCCTGTTGAATTCGAAGGATATTTCGACTGAATAAATATATGATTGGCGCCATTATACTCTTTATAGTACGGTCCAAGTGTTTTAAGATGTTCTATCAGACTAAAAAAATCTTCTATTGATAATTCTGAAATTGAAATAGGAACTAAGAATAAATCAGCTTCTTTTGGATTATCATAGTTTAATGTAGAGTTTTTAATGATTTTGAAAAGTTCATTTTCGACTGTATATCGCGGATTTATTGTTCGAGATTGAAATTTTGCTGGAAATCGATTTAATGGGTAAACATAAATATTTAAAGGAGGCCAATCGAAATCTTCTGCAATTCTCCGTAGGATTGGTAGATCCATTTTGTTTGCATATTGAGAAAAGAACAAAAGATTTAGAAACATTGCAAAAATTTGTTTTCAAAATCAACTTTACATGTCAGAATATTTAACGTCTTTCAAAAAAAATCCAGAAGAAGATAGACAATTGAAGTTATAGGTATCAAAAACAATCGATATATGTAGAAACAAAATAAACTTTAAAACTAAATAATAATAAATACACAACAATATTGAATAGATTACTTAATTTTTGTTCTTGCGGAGCTTTGGACAATCAATATCTTGGAGCCACTGCAATTTTTCTTCTTGGAGAAGCAGACGTTGATCCAGTGTCTTCATCGTAGTTGCCAATGATGCAATTTCTTGTTGCATCCTTTCAAGAGCTGCAAATATATCACCATCATCCATTTCAAGAGAGTTTGGATCAACAGGTTTGCCATCGAGTCTATATGCACAAATTTTACGATCTTCACCTGAAGTAACAAATCCACGAGCAGATGGAAGCCAGCAGCAGCTCAAAGCGTATCCATTGTGATGATTGAATGTGCATGCAATATCAGCAATCTTCAAATCCCACAATCTAGCATATCCATCTCTGCCAACACTGAGGAGTTCTTCATTATATGGATTGAATGCAACACATGTTACGCCATCAATATGGGCAGAATGCTTTTGAAGTATTGTTTGAGTTCTGAGATCCCAAATTCGAACAACATGATCAAATGAACCTGCAGCTATGCATGAGCCGCCATAATGGAAAGAAATGGATGATATATCAGAACCACTTCCTGTTTGAAGTGTATATACTGGCTTTTGAGCTCTTTGATCGTAAATATAAATATTTGTATCATTTCCTGCGACAGCAATTAAATTGTCGAGCCATTTGATATCTCTTACCCAACCATTCATTGCAGTAAGAGTGTGGCGCTTTGTATACCGATTCATTGACCAAATTGCTGCAGTTTTATCATTTGATCCTGTTGCAATGTATTGGCCATCTGGAGACCAACAAATAGTCCTTGCAATTTGAGAATGTGCTTTGAAAGTTGTAATTTCTGTTGTCTGGTTAGTATTCCATAAAATAACGTTTCCGCTATTTGTACAGCTGGCGATAATTTGAGAATTTGGTGAAAAAGCGCAAGCAAGAAATGGGTCTTGATGACTTTGTGCATATTTTGTTTCGCGTGTTACAAGATCAGTAATTCCAACGCTACCATCAGTGGAAGCTGTAGCCATATGATTCATGTCTTGACTAATATCAATACAATTGATTGGTGCAGCATGGCGCTTCATTGAATAATCAACTTTCCACATTTTCTTATATAAAATTTAAAGCACGTTTAAAATTTCTTTGCAGTCATTTTTATCAGCGTTTTGGCATATCATATATCTATCACCCATGTAGATGATATGCATCGCCAAAATCCAAAATAGTCTACCTTTATTTGTAGTTTTAAAGACTAATGTATTCAATGTTTTGTATATTTAATAATTTTGCCAAAGTAACTATCCAAACTCACCAAAATTTAGTAGATTTTCATGTAAACTCGATATTTGTCAAATCCTAATTTATTCTCTATGAGATTTAATACCGAACAAAAAGTTAGATTGACCTGGACAATAAGCTTAGATTAGCTCAAGTTGTATTATTTTATTTTCGGATGAAAATAATCATACAAACGGTTTGGTCGGAAAATCCCCTTAAATTTTTTCTATGTCCGAACAAGACACACACCCAAATAAATTCGTTGAATTGCGAAGTATCTACAAAAACTACATCAATTTATACATTGCATTGTTTCAACTGAAAACTGAAAAAGAAGAAGAATTAAAAACAATTTACAAAATGATCAAAGCAGAATTGATTGATTCAATGAAACATCTCCCCACAAATGTAATAAAAGATATTTTAAATATTATTCCGTATAATAATCGCTATACAAAGTCATATTTGTGTCTTGCCAAACTCATATCTGATGAATATCATGTCAAAAAGGTCAATGATGTCGTAAGTATTTCAAACATCCTATTTTACAAAGAGTATGGTATTAGATTAGACAAATCTTGCGATTTTGAAAAAAATAAATCAGAAAATCTCAGTATTCATGAAGAAAATACAATTTACAGAGCAATTATGAATAATGACAAAGAAAGATTCATCACATTCATAGAAGGAAAAGGTTTTGATAAAGATCAAATTCTTAAAAGCGAATTATATCCATATTCTAAAGAAGGATATTCATTACTTGAATTATGTTGTTACCATGGAGCAGTTGATTGTTTCAAATTATTAAGAACAAAATTTTACTCAAAAATAACTCAAACATGCCTTAGATTATCATTTATAGGTGGAAAACCAGAGATCATGAGTGAATGTTTGAAATATAGATACCTAAAACCAGATGAAAAATGCATGAAATATGCAATTATTTCACACAACATTGATTTTGTTACATTCTTGATGAATGAGTACAATATTGCCATTAAATTGGAGCATTGTCAAATTTTCAAAAATCTTGATGCATTTTTAATTTATTTTGATCAAACAAATGATATTAACCAATGCTTTGTTTATTCAGTTATGTTTAATATTCCATCCCTTTTCGAATACTTCCTTTCAATTGGTGCAAATGTCAATGAAAAAGATAAAAATGGAGATATTGCTCTTCATATCGCAGCAATGAGTAAAAGTAAAGAAACTGCTGAACATCTTATTTCACATGGAGCAAATATTAATGAAAAAATAGATATGGAGATATTGCTCTTCATTTTGCAGCAAAGACAAATAGTAAAGAAACTGCCGAACTTCTTATTTCACATGGTTCAAATATTAACGAAAAAGATAAAAATGGAGATATTGCTCTTCGTTTTGCAGCAAAGACAAATAGTAAAGAAACTGCCGAACTTCTTATTTTACATGGAGCAAATATTAATGAAAAAATAGATATGGAGATATTGCTCTTCATTTTGCAGCAATGAGTAAAAGTAAAGAAACTGCTGAACTTCTTATTTCACATGGTTCAAATATTAATGAAAAAGATATATATGGAGATACAACTCTTCATTTTGCAGCAAAGACAAATAGTAAAGAAACTGCCGAACTTCTTATTTCACATGGAGCAAATATTAATGAAAAAAATAAAATTCGAGAAACCGCACTTCATATTGCAGCAAGGAACAATAGTAAAGAAACTGCCGAACTTCTTATTTCACATGGAGCAAATATTAATGAAAAAAATAGATATGGAGAAACCCCTCTTCATATTGCAGCAAGGAACATTAGTAAAGAAACTGCCGAACTTCTTCTTTCACACGGTGCAAAAAATGATGTTACTACATAAGATACATTACTTTCATCTTCCAAGATGAGTTTTATTAGAAGTAAAAAAAATTAGCTTTTTACGCTTCATTTAATCGTAAAAATGATTTTTATTACTTTTCCATACGTTTTGACACATATATAATCATTTTATATCTAATAATGCGGCAAATAAACTTGCTATAAGTGGAATGCGATAAAAAAAACAGAGAATTCCCTCCAGTTTCAATCGTGCCCTACTATGGTGGAGCTGATGATAAATCAAACGATTTTAAGTATTATATATCTATAAGCATGATTGATCAAAGAATTTCAGATTTGAACTATATTTTGTATTAAGGCTAGGAAAGTATCTTCAACTACTGAAACAAATAAAAATATTGAAAGAAATCTTTTAAACAATAATAAATAATCAAATATGATATTTGATGTCAGACATAACTAGACCAGAAATTGAAATATGAACAAGAGAAAGACAAGTTTTGATCACAGGCAAACATTGTACATCAAATATTATGTCCTGTAAAGATGAACGAAAACTGGAAAAAATTGATAGGGGTACTGAGGTTAATTTGCCCTTTGAATTTTATATATCCTCTTTGAATTTCAGAAAATGAAACGACATTGGATTATTGTACTTATTAAAATTCCATAATTTCTTATAAAAGAGGTGAACTCATTTTACATCAATAAGTGCATTGGCTATTTAATTTGAGAAGAGTGGGTAAATCGGTTGCTTTGAATTTTTTCTTTCAAAATTTGAAATAAAGTTATCTGAATTGCCATAAAATAATTGCTAAAAAATAATACTTATTCATATACCAGAAATGTCTTTCATATTTCATTTCAATTCAAACATCGAACCCAAATCATGAGTGAATTCACATTCAAAATTTATTATAAAATTTCTGAGGAAAATTTCCAGTTCATTTTTCGAGAATGTCTCAAGAAAGACCGTTCATCTACATCCACATGGGTACATCCCTTGATGGAAAGATCATTGGTAAATTCATGGAAACAGAAAATTCAATAGGAGTTTTAATAGATTATGTTTGGACAAGTAAATTGTTCAAACCAGATGCAATCATGATTGGAACTAAAACTGTAACTGAAATGAATAATGAACAACCGGTTCTCAATTCAGATGAGAAAGATGTTCCAGAAGGAGATTTCATTGCAAAAAGCGCAAAGGCACTATTCCTTGTTGTTCCTGACTCAGCAGGCAAAATTGGATGGAAGAATAATTACTTCGAAACAGTATACTTCCAAAAATCCAATATTATTGAAATCCTTTCAGAAAAGGCATCCCCACAGTACAGGAATTACTTAAGAAGTCTCAATATCTCTTATATCATCGCCGGTAAGGAACACGTTGATGTTGTTCCAGCTGCTAAAGCATTGAAGCAGAAATTTGGCATCAACACCCTTGGTGTTCTTGGTGGAGCTACAATTAACTGGTCATTTGTTCAGGCTGGTATTGTTGATGAATTATCAATCTGCTTAGTAGCTGCTGGTGATGGTGCAAACAAGTCATTAACATTGTTTGAGAAGGCACCACAAATTGTTGAGAATTCGCCAGTTGAATTTGAACTCAAGTCAATTGATAGACTCAGCACAAACGGATTATGGCTCAAATATACACCAAAGGGTGCAAGAAATGAAGAGAGACCATATTCCGGTCAATTTGAATTAGGCAAAAAGAACGTTGATGCCAAGTTCTTCACAGGTACAAGTTATCTTAATCAACTTTCAAATCAAGGTGCTACCGTGCTAAATGTGACATTTGAACCAGGTAGTAGAAACAATTAGCACATTCACCACGGAGGAAATCAGATATTACTTGTCACCGACGGCTTTTGTTGGCATCAGGAAGAAGGAAAGGAACCAAGGTTCTTAAGATCTGGCGATGTTGTTGAAATCCCACCAGAAGTCAAGCATTGGCATGGAGCATCTAAGCAAACATGGTTTGCTCATATATCCATCCAGCCACAAGCCGAAAAGTCATCAACAGAGTGGCTGGAACCGGTTTCTGATGAACTTTACAACAGTTTAGTTCCAAAATAATTTTTATTTATTCTCTTATAAACTAAATATTTCTCCCATTAATATGATTTCAAGTTACATAATCTACTTTAAATGTATCTCCAGGGAAACAAAATGACATCTTTAAAAATAATCAATTCCTGCATTGAAGAATGTTAAATAGAATTATTGTGTGAATATCTTCTGGATTAATTCTTCAATAAATATATATATGTTGATTGATTGATAGCTCATCATAATGTAGCTTATCAAAATAAAGATATCGTTGGAGTTCTTTTTTCACATGGTACAAATGTCAGTGAAAAAGAAAATAATGGAGCTTCAGCTCTTCATTTTGCAGTATATAATAAGAAATGTGTGTATTTCTTCCTTCTCATGGTGCAAATATCAATGAAAAAGATAAATATGGAGAATCTCCTCTTCATCTTGCAGACCATTAAAATTTTAAATTAAGCGTTGAGATTCTTCTTTTACATGGAGCAAACATAGGATGTTAAAAATGTTCAATATAGGTATATGAGTTTTAGTTGTTATCAAATTAAAATCAATATCATACTCTAAGATAATTAAAATCAGCCCTAATTATTTAGATAGAAAAGCTATTTTAATGTAATTGTTAATAAATAGATGACATAAATAAGATTATAAAAAATAATAATACAAAAATATTTATTATATCAAAATATACAATGTATTTTTAATAAATATTATAACCTTTATATTCTCTATAGTGAATTTATTCCGCTTTCTTAGATTTTGGATCTTCATCAGGAATAGCAACTCCATTAGCATCAAACTGAGCTATAAATGATGGCCATTCATATTTGATACCAGCTGCTTCTAAGGCAGCCTTTATCTTCTTTTCTTGGCGAGCTAATTTTAATGCGAACTCTTTCTTTGGTAATTGATCATGATTTATCTTCTTAGGTCTAGTGCGTGCGTTTGTAAAGAGTTTTGGCGGAACTTGTGCAGATGGAAGATATTTTGCTTCTAATTTTTTGTCAAGGATTAGATAATTGTTAAAAGACTTTGCAACTATCTTTGCCGTTTCTGGATTATCAAATTCTGCCCAGCCATAATGTTTAGAATTACCAGTTTTTGTAGATCTCGCTAACTGAACATTTTTAACAGTACCAAATTCTCCAAGTGCTTTCTTCATTTCTTTCTCTTCAAAACCATCTGGTAAGTGAGCAATGTAAACAACACAGCTGGTATCTTGCTCTGCCATAATTCTTTAAAATTTGGAAAACCGCAAATTTAATTCAAATTTTCTATGTCCTATTCTTATTTCATGTGTATTACCTCATGTGATTAATATTGAGAGCTATTACTGTGATTATATTATTAAGTATAATATGTTTTAATAGGGCATTATGCCAATTTGATTAAATAACTATGAATAAAATTATTCATTAAATAAAATTGTGCCAAATGCAGTCAGCATTAAGAGTTATTACAATATTCATGTGATAAATATTAAAATAAAGTAAATATTGTATTTATGTTGAGAAAAGTGTATTTTATTTTAAAAAACATAGTTTTGTGTAATCCATTGAAGGAAATTATCAACATCTTGCTCTGTTGAGCCCCATCCAAGGGAAGCTCTAACAGCTCCAAGAGGAATTCCGTCAATTACATCGTTTTCATCGCCACAAGTTGTTTTAGCATCGAAATAAGACCTCACTCTTGATTCTGGTATCTTCATGAAGTCGAAACAAGCACCTGGATTGCAATGGCAGCCACCTCTCAAATGAAATCCGGCTTCACCTGCAGATTTGACGACTTCGTAGTAGCCAAAGTAATCATCTTCTGTTCTCTTCAAGTTAAATGCAACAATTCCGCCTTGTCTCGTAATTCCTTGACCATGATTTCCATAAACTTTGACTGCTTCAGCTCCATTGCCATGGGAAAGCGATGTGAGTCCTTTATAAAGTCTATCTGTAAGGCGAGCAACATGTTCTTGGATTTTATTCATGCCAATTGAATTAATTGATTCTAATCCATATTTAACTGCAAGTGTAAGTTCGAAAGGAGGTTCATCATCCTCAAATGAGTATACTTCGAAGTAATCATCGTCTGGAGATGAATATTTCGCCGAATTAGATGTATATGTTTTCTTCTCAAGCATTTTTAGTAGAGATTTCTTAATAACTAAAGCACCTGTATTTGGAAAACCAAATATCTTGTAAAATGACATGATTACGGCATCGTAATCTGTTTTTGATAAATCTAATGGATTTGTTGGAAGGAATGCAGCAGAATCTGCAACAATAGTCCATCTCTTACGCCATTCCTTATCATTAAGAAGCTTCGAAATTTGTTCTGGATCGTTTTTTCCTCCCGCAAAGTTTTCTTCAAGTGGAAAAACGAACAAATTCTTTGAAGATTCTGAGTATGGTAAATTGTAAACATCTTTAAGATCATTAATTGATCTAAACTTTGAGCCATGCTTGATTGCGTATTTTCGAACGCCTAAAATTGAATTATGATTGTATAAAGTGTATGCATATGTGCTATCTTTTGTCCATGGGAAATTTTCTCCGACAAGCTTCATGGCTTGTGTAGCACTTGCAACAAAAATGACGGAATAAATTGAAGGATCGGCTCCTACGAATTTCAAAAGTTCTGAACGAATTTCTTCTATTATCTTTGTCTTGTTAACATTGATTGGCATTGTTAATAAATCGTATTCATATTGTGAAATTGCTTGATCTAGATAAATTCCAGCGCCGGTATAATCAAGATATGTTCCATTTAAGTGTTTGAAGATATTTTTCCTTTGTTTTTGTAAGTTTTTCGGATAATTATCCCCAGGATTTACGAAAGTATCTGTATTCATTGTTATCCGGATGTACAACAATGTTATAAATATTGCACATAACGGTATCAATGCAACTTTCATATATAAATTCTGTCTATTTACTGAAACTCTCTTCATTATTTAATTTATATTTGACATATTTTTGTGAGATTTGATAGGAAATGCTACGATATAATAAGATAATTGTTTTTTATTTAATTTTAAAATCTCAATACAATTTATAAACGTCACTTTTAGAAAAGTTCGCTTTTTTTTAGTGATGAGTGCTCCACCTAAAATTGATGACAAATGGATGCATGACATCAGTAAAAAGATTGCAACACTTACAAAAACAGTTTTCAGGCTTCATGCAGAAACAGTTGATCGAAAAGACGAAATTAATCAATTAAAACAAAGATATGAAGACGAACTTAATCAGGCGCAAGCACAATCGCGGGCCGCACTTGAAGATACTCAGTCTCAAGTTCAAAGATATAGAGATAATATTGATGCAACTGTAAAAGAAGCGTATGAACAAGAATTTTCACGCGTTAAAAAGCAATTTGATGAGGCAAAAGAAAAATTAGGAGAGCAATCTAAGAGAGTCATCGATTCTGCAAATGCTAGATTAAACGAATTAAAGACTCAAGTTGAAGATCTTCGTGTTAAGGCTGAAGCCCAAATGAAATTATTCCACGATGCACAGCAAGAACTTCTCAATCTTTCAAACAATGCAATTTCGAAAGTTGAAGAAAAACATAAGAAAGAATTAGCCGAACACGTTAACGAAGCCAACAAGAAATACAATGCTCTTGTTATGGCAACAGCCAAAAAAGAGGAAGAGCTTAAAGCCAAATTCGAGCATGAAATCAGCGAATTACGTAAGAATCTTGCAAATGGCCAAAAGTCAGCAGCCGAAGCTCTTGCAGCCCAGCAAAGAGACCTAGAAGGCCGTCTCAAAGACTTAGAAGCCGAAAAAGAGAGCATTGTACGAGCAGTTGAATCTCTTAATGATCAAATGCTCCAACAACAGCAAGAAGCAGAGCAATACCTACAAAAAGTTGCTGCACAGAAGGAGAAGATTGCAACAGCCCATATAGAAAACATGGACAACCTTAAGAAGAAGCTCGAACAAAGAAGAAAAGACCATGAAGACAAAATCACAAAAATCAAAGACGAAATGAAGAAAGATGAAGAAAAACATCAAAAGATGATAACAGATCTTCGTGCACAAATCGAAACAGAAAAGGAAGAACACAAAAAAGCACTCGATGCTCTTGAAGAAGCAGCGAAAAAGAACTCAGCTTCCGCAGACAACAAAAAGATGCAGTTAATTGAAGAACACAGACAAATCATGGACGAAATGAACGCAAAACATCAAGCATACATGGATGCAGCTCGTGCAAAAGAAGCTTCATTGCAACAAGACCTCGCGAAGTTGCAAGAAGAACATGATGCGGAAGTTGCAAGAATCAAAGCACAAATTTACGAAGAACAAGTGAAACATGAAGAAATGTTAAGAGATTTGAAGCAGAAACACGATAGCGAATTAAGTGCTTTGAAGCAGACGCATGCAGCAGAATTAAAGAGAATGCAAGATGAACTAGAAAGCTGTGAAAACGCAAGTTCTTCGAGTTTGCAGAAATTGATGGAAGAAATCGAAGCAATAAGAAAAGAAATAGAAGAAACGAAACTCAAGAATGAACAAGAATTACAAAGAAGACAAAAAGAAAAAGAAGACAATATAAAGAGAATAAAAGAAGAACAAGAAAAAGCATTAAAATATTTAAGAGAACAACATGCAGATAGAATGAAACAATTGGAAGAAGAAACGAAACAAAGAATAGAACAAATGAAGAAAGATCATCAAGAAAAGATGAAACAATTAGAAGTGGAAGCTGCTGAAAGAAAAGAAAAAGAATGTAATGAGTTAAGAGCGAAATTACAAAAACAAAGAGATGATGAAATAGCTCAAACAAGATTAGAATGGGAATCAAAGATTAATGACTTGAAAGAGAAAATCGCAGCTAAAAAGAAAGCAAAAGAAGAAGCGGAAAAATTCATGGTCGAAGAATCAGCGAAAAGACAAGAACAAATTAATCTTGTTAAACAAGAAATTAAAGAAATTGAAGATAATTGGGCCAACGAGAAACAACAAATAACTGAAAAATGGACAACAAAAATACAAAATGCTAAGAAACAACACGCTGAAATCGAAAGACAAAATGAAGAAGCTAAAAGACAAAAAGACAAAGAATATGCAATCGCCGTAGAAAGACTGAAGAAAGAACTACAAGAAGAAGAGGATAAAAAGAGATTGGCAATTGAAGAACTCCAAAAAGCAATTGAGAACCAAAAGAAGGCAAATGATGATGAAGCAGAAAAAGCGAAACAAGAAATTGAACATATCAAAGAACAGAGAACTTCAGTGATACAAGACTTGCAAAGACAAATTGAACAAGTCAAAGAAATCACTGAAAAGAAATTGAAAGAAATAGAAGACCAAAGACAAACAGAACTCGCAAAACTACAGGAACAATTAAGTTCTGTAAAAGCTAAAGGAGAAGCGGATTTAAAGAAACTTAAAGATGGATATGAAATCACTAAAAAGAACCAGGAACAACAACTCGATGCTTTGAGAAGACAAATAGAACAAGAAGAACAAGAAGCTTCAAGAAAATTGTCAGATATCAAATCCCAAAATGACAGATCTTTGGCCGAACTCGAAAAAGCTCAGAAAGAAGAGATAGACAAATTAACTGCGGACTTAGCTGCAATACAAAAAGCAAGTGAAGACCAGAAGAAGAAACACAACGAATTACTCGAAAAACAACAGAAAGAATACGACCAAAAACTTGCAGCAATGAAGTCTAAATTTGATTCAGAAAGAGACGCAATTAACAAAGAAATGGCTGAAATCGAGGAAGAAAAGAAGAAAGTCATATCAGAACTCGAAGCAGAAACAAAAGTTTGGGAAGAAAAGTACAATAACAGAGATGCAAGACCAGAAGATATCGAAAAGATCAAGCAATTGGAAGCAGAAATCACCAAAAAGACAAAAGATATCGAAAATGTTCAAAGAGAACTCACGAAATACCAAAATGAATTGATGAATAGAGAGAAAACATATAACAAAGTTTTCTCAAACAAGCCACAATTGGCTGTTTTGAATACTTTGGAGAGGAAAGCAAAGAGAGATGCTTTGATTTCATCATTAAGCACTTCATCTACTACACATTTGCCACCTTTACCTGATCCTATTGATACCCCAACAAAGAGAATGAGAAAGAAATAATTTAATTTTTTTATAATTTTTATTTTTTTGTAATTAATAAATCATATCAATTAAAATATCAACTATTTAAACATCCTAATTTCAATCTCAGGTTAACCAGTAAATACAAAAAAATTTAGAGATCATATTTTAACATTTGAAAATTAATATAGGAATTCAAATGGTATAGATGCATTTACTATTGTAATGCGTAATTAAAAGCTATTGAAGTATAAAATTCATTATATTTTCTTTGTTGATAGATATTTATTCATATTGAACATACAAATGGATATTCGTATGACTTTATGATAATCAATGATATAGATATTAAATTTGAAAATGATTTTTATTTAATAATTTTTATTAATTAAAATGATATTGATTCATTCAAAATGAAATACATTTATTTGCATGATACATTGCAATGTTATCATGGTCAAAATGTTGAACTTCATTATTTTGATTAAAATCAAATTTCAAAAAGGAAAAAAATATTTTAAATTTGTATATTTTTCATAAAAGATTTTTTGCTTCACATTTGGACTGCGATACTCAATCAATGAGAATGCTAAATCGTAAAATTTCGAGGTTAATTTTTCTTAGAGATTGAAAAAGTCAAAGAATTTGGAATACAGAGCACATCAATATATGTGTTATTTTTATATGTGGAATGAACTCAAAATAATCGTTATGTAGCCAAAACAAATAATTTGTGATGAGTGGGTAAATCGGTTTCATTGAATTATCTGTTTTCAAATTTGAAATAAAGATAACTTATGTGTCAAAAAACGAAAATTGTATAAATAGCTATAATGAGCATAGTACGCAATGTTTTTCATAATTATTTTCAATAAAGTATGTTGGAACCTAATAGACATCATGTGAATTCACATTCAAATTTTTTTCAAAAGAAAAAAATTTAAGAAGAGAAAAATGAATCAGTTCATTTTTCAAGATGTCAGCAGAAAGACCTTTCATCTACATCCACATGGTCACATCTCTTGATGGCAAGATTGTCGGCAAATTCATGGAAACAGGAAATGCAATGTCGGCATTACAGGATTACATGTGGACAAATGCCTTATATAAAGCAGATGGCGCAATGTGCGGAAGTAAGACAATAACTGAAATGGGATATAATAATCCAGTTCTCAACCCAGAAGAAACAGAAGTTCCAGATGGCGATTTTATCGCAGAAGGTGCAAAAGTCCCATTTTTAGTTGTCCTCGATTCAACTGGAAAGGATGGATGGAATCAAAGTCACGTTAATATGCCACTTAGTCCAACAACTACTATCATTGAAGTCTTATCAGAGAAAGCATCTCCACAATACAGAAATTATTTAAGAAGACTTAATATTTCTTACATCATTTCAGGAAAAGAACATGTCAACATTGTTCCAGTTGTTCAGAAGTTGAAGAAAGTATTTGGCGTCAATGTTCTTGGTATTCTTGGTGGTGCTACAGTAAACTGGTCAGTTGTTGAAGCCGGAATCTGTGACGAAGTTTCTATCTGCCTATCAGCAGTTGGTGATGGTGCAAACAATTCTTTGACATTGTTCGAGAAGTCTCCAGCAGTTTTGAACGATTCTCCTGTCTAATTTGAGCTTAAATCAGTCGAGCAAATCAATTCTGATGCATTGATGCTCAAATACATACCAAAGTATGCAAAGAAAGATTCGAAACAATATCATGGTCAATTAGAAACAGGCGATAAGAATTCAGAAAATTCTAAATTCTTCAATGGCACAAGTTATATCAATCAGCTCTCGAAGAATGGCACTGATGTTTCTAACATCTCATTCGAACCAGGAATCAGAAACAATTGGCATGTCAACCATGGCTTTGGAGAAACATTACTTTGTACAAGTGGCTTCGGCTGGTACCAAGAAGAAGGCAAAGAACCAAGATTCTTGCGTTCAGGTGACGTGGTTGAAATCTTACCAGATGTCAAACATTGGGAAGGATCTATGAAAGAGACGTGGTTCACATACATATCCATCAAGCCAATTGCACCAAACTCAACAACAGAATGGCTTGAACCGGTTTCCGATGAAATCTACAACAATTTAATTCCAAAATAAATATTACAAGCTGATTTTTTATACAGATAAATCTAAAAATTAATTTATTTGGTAAAATGCAACCGATTTTCTTTTATTATTTTTGATGTCTGATCAAATCAATGTTACAAACAAATACAGTGAATTGAGAAGTAGCTATAAATACTATATTGATTCATATAATGCATTGTATCAGTTAAAAACGACAAATGATGAAGATTTAAACTCAATTTACAAAATGCTCAAAACAAACTTGATTGATTCAAAGAAACATCTTCCACAAAATATTATAGAATGTATTTTGGGTATCATTGAATACAATAATCGCTATACAAAGTCATACTTGTCTCTTATGAAAAAGGTGACCAAACTATTTTTTGAAAGTCCGCCATAACTTTAATGGTACTATTTCAGCATGTACAATGAATACAAAAATTCTAAGAGTGCCACATAAAATAGTACTTTAGACTTGAGTTAATGCTACCAAGCAAATGTTAAAAAGATGACTTTAGTGTTTTGATAATCAAAGATTAAAATCATTATTGTCTAAATCAATAATCATAACGACAGAAGTTAATGTTTTTTCATAAGTGCTTTAAATCCACTTTTAAAAGTATACCTCAAAAATCAAAATATCAAAAAAAAATTGGCCGATAGGTTTGGCTTTAATTTTTGTCTGCTTTTATGATTTGATATGGATGTTATAATTTTAAAAGTTGAGCCAAATTCACCAATAGATTTTTGAGATTTGCAAATACTCAATAATTTTCAGCGTGTTATCTTTTATTAAAAGAACTATTTGGTTTCAGTATCATATAAATGATATTTACTTTCTATTTGAACCTTCATTTAGCTAATGATTTAATAATACAGATTTCATCTAGTCCTTATAAGAGAATTTTGAATTTGTTATAATAAAAAAACAAACAGATATAGCTTACACTTCTATAATAAAGATACCTTTTATAGAAATCAGTATGAAATGTGTTTTGGCTTATTGGAAGCATATCAGACATAATCGCCATAATCAAAAAATCTATATACCCAATAAGTAATAAATTTGTCGATATAGATTTTCCATAAAATTAGTTTTGAGTCTGATCTTAAAATAAATTTAATTTTTTATAAAAAAAATCACATTTAAAAGTACCTTTTTAGTAGCTCGAAATCCTGTTGGTGGATTTCGGGCGTACTTCAAAATTAGCTTTTCTTCTACATATGCAAGCTATATTTTAAATATGGAGCAAATCGGATCGGCGAAAGGAGTTTAGTTGCCTTTCTTATGAAACAAATATGCAATGACTATCATATAACAAAAATCAATTATATTCCAGAAATTTATGATTACCTGTTCTATAAAGAATATGGAATTAAATTAGGCAAGTCTGTTGATTTTAAAGAAAATAAATTTAAAAATATCGATATTCATAAAGAAAATACAATTTACAGGGTCATAATGGAAAATGACATAAAAAGATTCATTTCAATCACAGAAAGTGAAGAATTTGACCAAGATCAAAAACTAAAAAGCGATTTATATCCATATTCTGACTATGGTTATACATTACTTGAATTGTGTTGTTACCACGGAGCAGTTGATTGTTTCAAATTCTTAAGAACAAAATTTAGCTCTGAAATAACTCAAAAATGTCTTCTATTTTCATTTTTAGGAGGAAATCCAGAGATCATGAGTGAATGTTTGAAATATCAAAAACCAGATGAAAAATGCATGGAATATGCAATTATTTCGCACAACATTGATTTTGTTACATTCTTGATGAATGAGTACAATATAGAAATCGATTTATTTTATTGTGGTTATTATTATAATCTTGAATCATTTTTAGTTTATTTCGATCAAACTAATGATTTTAAAAAATGTTTTGTTTATTCAGCAAGGTTTGATGTTTCATCTCTTTGCATATATTTTTTCTCACTTGGAGCAAATATCAATCAATGCGATCAATTTGGTGAAACTGCTCTTCACCTTGCTGCACAAAATAATAATAAAGAATTAATCGAGTTCCTTCTGTCCCATGGTGTAAATATCAATGAACCAGATAATGAAGGAATTACCGCTCTTCATAAAGCGGCATGGAGTTATAATAAAGAAACAGTTGAACTTCTTCTTTCGCATGGTGCAAATATCAATGATAAAGATGATTATGGAGAACACGTCCTTCATATAGCAGTATGGAAGGCTAACGCAGAATTAATCGAACTTCTTCTTTCACATGGTGCAAATATCAATGAGGGAGATTTTAATGGAACAACAGCTCTTCATATGGCAGTAGATAAGAATAATAAAGAAATAACCGAACTTCTTCTTTCACATGGTGCAAGTATCAATAAAAAAATCAATTTGGAAAAACCGCTCTTCATTATGCAGCCCAAAATAATTCTAAAGAAATCATTGTACTTCTTCTTTCACATGGTGCAAATATCAATTAGAAAGATAAAAATGGAAGAACAGCACTACATATTATCACAAATAATAAAGAAAAAACCCAACATCTTCTTTCACATATTGCAAATGTCAAATCAAAAGATGAAAATGAATAAGCAACTCTTCATAATTGCAAAGATTCGGTCAAGATTAATTATTTTTGCCCAATATCACTTCGAATTATATCCTGTATTTTTCAAATTGTAGAAAAAATTGAATTGTGTACAAAATGAGTGTAGTGGAAATTGCTTTTTTTGAATTTGAATTTGAATTTGTTGTCAATTGCATTAAATGTACTTTCAGAAGCAAAAGATTCCAATGGAAATTATATCATTCATCAAGCATCTTTGGAAAGAAATCTTAAACCGGTTAAAGAAGTTAGTATGGTTAAGTTGGGTACGGCGGCACTGCGTTCCACCTTACCCAAGTTAACCTTAAATATTTCCGAAACCGTTAACGTAAATTTTACAACACAACCATAACACCAACTTAACCTTAAATATTTACAAAACCGTCTGACACATAAATGACTTCACTAACGAACTCACTAATGTAAAAAATAAACGTTCTCACTATCATTCTCACTAACGACTTCACTAATGTTCTCATAAATTTTCCTCAATATCTTCATCATCAGTGTTAACCATATTGTAGTCATACTTGAAGCCATAAACTTTCTCTAACTTCTTAACGTACAATTTACATAACTTACCTTCGTCATCGTATGGTTTAATGATATAACTATTTCTATCTTTATACACAGTCAATGAAAAGTCAACTGGTCTCGGATGTATTTGAAAGAACATGTTATGCTCAGGAAGGAAGAATAAATGTTTAAATGTATGTTTGTTATATTTTTCGATTTGTATGAGTTGCTTTTGTTCTGTCATTTACATCCAAATAAAAATTTTCAGTAAAATAAAAAATAAACTTAAAAATTAATGATATCACCACCCTCACACGTATGAAAACATAGCACAAAAATAAATTTAGGTGAAGTGGTGAGATCTCACCTCTTTTTTCACCTCTTTTCTCACCCTGTTGAATTCATTGCTTTATAACTCTCTTCCTTTCTCCAACTCTTCTAACTTCTTCCTAAGTTCAGCAATGTTGTCCTCATGAAGTTTAATCTTCCTTAATATACCTTCTTTATCTAATGGTTGCTTTATCTTTCTAAACTGAACTCTACCATCCTTCATAGTATGAATGTAAAAACCTTCTGGAATAGTTCCTGATTTAATGTATTCTACCAAAAACTTTTGTTTCATTGCTTCAGTGACTTTAGTCGTCATTTCAATCAAATAAAAATTTTAATATTAAATAAAAATAACGTTATTTTTTCAGTAAGGAAACGCAGGAGTTTTACGATTTATTTGAGGAGTAGGTTCTGGTTTAAATGTTGGAGTCGGTTTAGGAGTTGACTTTTGAACAGGAGTTTGTACTTCCATAGGTTCAGGAGTCATTGAAGTTAGTATACAAGTCATGGGTACGGCGGCACTGCGTTCCACCTTACCCAATACTTGTGAATTTGACACTTTACAAAGCCGCCAACCACTTCACCTCACTAATGTAAAAAATAAACGTTCTCACTTACAAAAGTATTGCAACTCCTCCCATTGCTGTGCTTCACATAACAGTTCATATTCTTCTGACTCACTTTCTTCTTCATATAGGTCAAAATCACTGTCAAAATGAATGTTAGTAAGTTTTGACAAAGCTAATGAAACACGCTTACCGTTTGTATCGTATGCTTGTATAAACTTTCCATTATGCTTGTAGTCATAAACGCTCAAACTAACTTTACCCTTTCTCCCGTATCTGATAGAATGTATTTTCACGAGGAACGAAGAACAAATTCTTGAACTCATGACCGTTGTAGTTTGTTATCTCAATAGTTTTCGTCATTTATATAAAAATAAAATAAAAAATAAACTTAAAAATAAATGATATCACCACCCTCACACGTATGAAAACATAGCACAAAAATAAATTTAGGTGAAGTGGTGAGATCTCACCTCTTTTTTCACCTCTTTTCTCACCCTGTTGAATTCATTGCTTTATAACTCTCTTCCTTGGTTTCTTTTTAGTTGCTTTCTTCACGTCTGTCTCCAACTTGACTGTCTTTCTTCTTCGTCCGTAATGATACCAGTTACTTCCACCAGTCAATGGGTCAAATGGTCTTTCGTAAGGGTTTCCATACATTCCATAGGGACCATACGGAAGAACTACTGGTGGAGAAGAAACATTTTCTTTAGTTCCATCGACTCTATTTAAATGCATTGTTTCACCTTTCATCTGGTCATTAAAGTCTTTTACGTGTTTTGCAAACTCATCGTCCTTTCCTAAAGCATTTTCTGACTCAGTCGCAACCAAATTGGATGCTTTATTTATGAGCCCTATTTTATTTAATCTTAACTTCTTTGCAACCCAGCCTCCAATCTTCCCTTTATTTGCATCTAATGTCTTTGAAACCCTTCCTCCACTCATTTTATTTACTGCGTCATAAGCTCCAAGTGCTTTTGCTCCAAATGCTAATGCTTTTGTTCCCATTGCGCCTAAAGCTGCCCAAGCTACCATTTACACCATATTAAAATCATCTCTCTTCAATATTATCTCATAAAAGTTCTCGTTACTGGAGAAAGTCAATGAAACATAAGCGTTCTCACGGGCTTCGCCCTCACCACTTTGCGGTCTATCTAACTTCTTTCTTATATCATCTATACGCTTCAAAATGTCTGAACAATTGCTAACATCTTCTACAACAGTTATTTCATCATGAATGACCTTCAAAAACAAACTCATTTAATATGCTATTAAAATCATCTCAATAATGAGTCCATCCTTTCCATCTTTGGGTAGCACAACATCTTTCATTGAAGAAGTTCGACAAGTCTTATGTTAAACTTACTGACAAAGTTTGTTATACTATAATGCTTCGGCGCGAATACATGTAGTTTGAAAGACATAATATAGATTCTTCAGCAAATTCACTTATACTGGATTTTATAACAATGTTCTCACGAGACCAAATACCACCAATTGACAATCTTGTAAGCAATCCTGCTGAACCTTCTACTGTAAACGTCGATGGTAACATTCCACGAAGGTCATCTATTGACATCGTTGAGTCACTGTATTTAAATATTTTCTTAAAGCAATCGTCATTATCTAACCATGCAATAGCTTTGAAGTTTTCATTCGAATATACATCTGCTTCATTAAATGTAAATCCTGACTTCTTTGCAGAGATGACTTTAAAAATCTATTGAGTTTGTTTCAAAATTATATGCTATGGTAACTTCTGAAGGTAATGGATGCCCTTCCGCAGTCAGTTGTCTCTCACTACCGTTTGAAGCTTTGTATTAAAAACTTTCATGTCATCTCCTGTATCTAAGTTCACATACACAGCAACAGGGAAACTATCTTGCTTCTTTGTTTCATCATTATATCTCAAAACATTAAAGTTCTTCAATAATATTGTTCTTCCTGCTGAATACTTCGAACCTGTCTGATTTCAATAGCTTTCTCACCTCCTACATACTCTACCCAGTGTCTTGGATATTCATAAGTATACTGACTTTCTTGAATTTTGGTAGGTTTCATCATAACATGTTCATAGTATATCTTTATACTCTTGTCAGTTAGACTCGGTGCTATGTTCTGAATATTTCTGACTTGCATTTTTTAATGGAGATAAAATGAAGCATTTAATACATGACGTAGATGAAGACATGAATGAAACTACAGACAAACTTAACTCTTCTCTCATTCTTCCTTTCAGCAAGGACTATGAGTTCTGTTCAAATGGTGTGTATTTCTATTGTGGAAAGATGGGTTCAGGTAAGACATTTAACCTCATTCGTCATATTCTTATAACAGAACGTTTAGGAAATGACTCATATTATGACCAAATCATTATATCAGCAACTTCAGACTCTATGGACTCAACAGCGAAAACATTTATGTCAAAAGTTCAAGCCTCTGTCGTTAAAGTTCCAGACAGTGAACTCATTGAATTTCTTCAACGTTACATTCGACGTAAGAGGAAATATTATGCCATCGTTGAATTTATACAGTCAGGAATGCAAAAGACTTCTGAGGAGATGGAAAGAATTATTAACAAACACCACTTACGTCAGTACTCAGGAGTTTACGATATGAAACGACTTACAAACTACATTCTGTCAAAACTTTCAAAATACCCCCTCAAAAAATATCCATCAAACACTTTATTAGTTTGTGACGACTTCGCCGGAAAAGGTTTAGTGTCAAAACCAGACTCACCATTAGCTAACATCATTACTAAAGTCAGACATTACCACTTAACTGTAGCAATACTTATGCAAACATGGAGGTTTTTAGCTTTAAACATAAAACGTCTCATAACTGACTTCGTTATCTTTCAAGGTTTCTCACGTTATGATATTGAACTCATTTGGAAACAGTCAGGTATAACATTACCTTTTGAAGAAATTTGGGAAGCATATAAGTCTCTCATCTCTCCTCGTTCATACCTTGAGATTCATATCATGACTAATACCATTAAAGTCAAAAATATTCCATGGGAACGACCAACATTGTTTTAAAGTTTAACCTTCAATTGACTGATGGTAAACAAATTCCATGCATCTCTGTCGCCATTTCTGTTAATATTTTTGCTGTCATTCATATCATCCACTTCCCCATCCGTTAGCTTTTGAGGATATGCGTTAGAATAGCTGTTTTAAATGAAGGCTTTTCACCTTTGAGAGCATAAACTCTATAACTTTCTGCATACTTTATGTTTGAACCTCCTGAGCCATCATTGACATAAATTTTTATAGGCTTCCACCCTTTGTTCATGTTCCTGCTTCTTCCCTTTGCTCTTTTGTTCAGTAGTTCTACATCTTTATACACAGCTCCTGTCTCAGTGAATTCAACAATATTTTCATTCGTTAGCTTTACATTCAAACCCTTGTCGAGTATATTGTTCATTTCATACATATAAAAGGTTTTTATTCTATATGAAATGAGAAGCAAATCCATCTTAGCTGGTGCCGTTAATGTTCCAATTGAACCAACATCAAATGTTGACTCACGAACGACAAACAATATTGTCATAAAGAACTATAGTTCAGAGTGTTTGAAAGAAAAAGAACCAGAACTTAAGTCGGTGAATTTAAACACAGCTTCAAACGCTAACGCTACATCAGATGTTAAGTTAGAGTATCCACCACTGGACCAAATTCTTTCAAGAGAAGCCAACGACAACCCTTACACAAATGTTCAAACAAATCCTTCAGATAACGTAGACCATTACTTCTTCAGTTATACCAAACAATTTTACTCAAAGACGATAAGAAGCTTTTGACAAATCTTATAAGCAAGAACCAAATAATTCTAACAAAGGAGGACCTTGAAAATGTTATATCACGAATAACAGGGAAACAATGTGTCATTGACTATCTCGACCCTGAAATCGAATGCTGTGGTCAAACGCCACCATTCATGAAAATAGGTAACATCCGCATCATTGAAACACCAGGAACTACAGGAGTTGAGTTTAAGTATAAATATTCGAACGAATATACAAAACTTTCAACAGAATATAAACTTTGTTTGAAATATGTTTTAGTAAATTAAAGCAGTCAGGAGGCTCTTTGAGCCCATCTTGGCGCTTTGCGCCGTCAGTCAAAAAAATTTCAAGTTAGCAATTTGTAATATCTATCCAAAACTTCTTCAACAGTATCGAACTCATCTTCATAATGCAAACCTAATCTTATTGACTTGGTGCAGTTTTCACTAACACAATATTTTTCTGTTCTCTTGACTGACAAACTAATTCATTTGTTCATCAAACAGCAACAACCAAAGTTCATGACCTAATACATAACATTCATACTTTATATTTTTAGCTCTGAGTTCTCTTGTAAGCTGTTGCATTTAATATTTTCTAAAAAGTCAACTTCAACAGTCATTCGCACTGGTGCCTTCAGTTCTACAGGCTCTCCTTGAAAGTCAACAAGTCTGAATTGCATGTCTTTCAAATTATGAGACTAATGCGAACCCATTTACCTAAATGAGTTGCTATGACAGGAACGTTTGGAATGAACATTGAATTGACTGCATAACAGAAGGATTTATATTCTACTGAACCTTTACTATTAACTCCTGAAATGCCTGTGACATTAGCTATTTTAGACTCAATGTACAAACAATTACCATAACATACGTATGGAACAGATTTCATCTCAATCGTTTTGTCAACACTTTTCAAAGGAAATGTCATATGGTATGCCAAAAGAAGTTGTACTCTATGACTCATTCTTGGTATCTTAAACTCTTTCGCATAACTGAACTTCAAAACTCCTGCAATAAGTTTAACATTCATTAAGTTTTCTCCGTTATCCTTGTTTATTGTAGTACTTATGAGAGCATTTAACACTCCAGCTAATGTTTCCATCTTATATTCTACATTATTGTGAAATCTTATTTCGTGCTTCTTTCCATCTATTTCAAGCTCCATGAAATCTGTTTCATCTGTTATAACGAATGAAGCGATAGTATTGAAGTCAACCATTCTGAATGCAAGCGCCTCATTCTGTAGACCTAAGTTTGTTTGTAGCTTTACTGTCCCGTATTCGTTTGGGTCTGTACTTTGCAAATAGAACAACATTTTATTCTCATTAAAATATGAGTATAGCTGCATATGCGTATGAAGCTGACAGAGCTAAACGTTTATATTTTGGTCAATACTCTCTCACACTTACTGACAAATATATTGTTATCACTGATGGAAATACTGAGAAATACATAACATGGAAGGACTATGAAAAAGTTTGACCCTATTTTAACTCCATGTACTATGCCATTTATAAAGGACGGTGAAATTATTGAAAAAGATAATACAACCGTATATAGGTCTGTTTATGAAGCATTAAATATATGTTGAATCATAACCCAAAAAGATTTGACCCAAGCACTACACCATGTGCAATGCCTTTTATTAAGGACGGTGAAATCGTAAGAGTTCCGGATTCAACGGTTTACACAGCTGTTCAAAACAGTTTACAAAACATTTTAGCGAATATCTTTAATTCAGAAACTACAGAAATGAAATTACCATATATAACAGATGCTAAAGAAATTAAATCAAAAACGACAACATTATTTACGTCACTTAATGATTTAATGAATTTTATAATTAATACTCCTTCACCGACTACAGGATTTGATCCAAACTCGACGGTTTGCAGTGTACCTTTCATAAATGACAGTTCATTAATTGCTTTAAGGGATTCGACAGTAAATGAATCATTAAAGGCGTCATTAATGAAAATCATTGATTTTAACTCATTCACGAATACATATAATTCATTCATTAATGTTTCATATGCTTCTAAAGAAGGTGAGCCAAAAACTATCGATAAAGCGGTGTATGAAATAAAAGCATCAACGACGAAATTGAATTCGTTAACTTTTGACGGTGATAGTTTCGTTAATGACATAACATCAGGAAAACAATTTTAACGAAAGAATATTTAAAATCTCATGTTAGTGAGTTCGTTGAAATTGAAAAAGAAGGTGGAATTAAGTTCGATCCACTGAATTTCATTTTCAGCTTAGCGAATGCAGGAATTAATTTTGCTGAATGGACAACTATACAGAGTGAAATAAATGCAATATGGACGTTTTTGGGGTCAAAAGCGGGAATGGGTGAGCTTGTAAATGCTGCAAGAACATTAGGTGAAACAGGAAATTTTGTAGATGGTTTTAAAAGACTTGTTTCAAATGTTTTAACAAACACAAAGAAATTATTTAGATATACCGTACATAACGGACGGATTTTCGAACAGATAGCAACAAACCCTCCGGTTATGGCTGCGTTGATGATGGTTAGAGATATAAAACCACGTAACGACGGGAACGAAGAACATGAACAACAGGATACTGGTCGGGTTATTCGAGACATTAAAAACGTGTATCCTGAAGTTATTGATTTATTTAGAGGAGTTAATGATTCAATTTCAAAACATTCTATAACCCTCGATGAAGAGAATAAATTAACAGATTATATATTCGTCATTATTGCAGAACTAATGAAGAGAATAAATGAAAAAGGAATGGTGATATCATTAATGTCAGCGATGTAATGATGAAAAGAAATTTTGACTCATTATTTACAAAACCGAAAACAGAATATAGTCTTTATGATGTAATTACGAATTAATGAAAAAGATTAATGATAATAAGAGTTCTGGCGGAAGAGTTGAATTAGAAGTGAATGATGTTAATGAGAAATTAGCCGAAAAAGCAGACAAAAATGAGCTTTTAGCTCTGAGTGATAAAGTCAAGAACCACGTTCATTATATAACTTCAGACGAACAGATTATAACGGACTACCATGGATATTTAACACGAAGTGATGAAGCGAAGACAAAAAATGTTAATGAAAGAAGATATAAATACATTCGTGCTAAAGGTTATGACATAAGCTGTACTGTACAGTATGATGTAGCTAAAGCACCAGAAGCATTTGGTTATACCGGTGAAATTTATGCCTCTACTTTCAATGTTAACGGTGTATTAGTTGAACCAAGATTTACATTGAGAGTTAAGCAAAAATAACCGTTGAAGATGCTATTAAAAGTAAAGCTGACAAAGATGAACTTAACGCAACGAACAAAGTTTTGAAATCTCATAAACACAACATCTCCGATATAAATGAACTTCAAGCTACATTAGACAGTAAAGCTGACAAGAACCATACACATAAATCCTTCACTACTGTTAGAGCAGACGACATAATATTGAACTTGACTTTGGTTCAAGTGCACCATTAGAAAATCCAAGTACAAGCGTAAAAGATACTCTAACAATTTAGATAAGAGTTGCAGGAATATGAAGATCATGCCAGAAACTTTGAAGCATATGAACTACCAGCAATGTTAGATAAGAAAGCTGACAAGAACCATACACATAAATCCTTCACTACTGTTAGAGCAGACGACATAATATTGAACTTTGACCTTGGTTCAAGTGCACCATTAGAAATCCAAGTACAAGCGTAAAAGATACTCTTAACAATTTAGATAAGAGTTGCAGGAATATTGAAGATCATGCCAGAAACTTTGAAGCATATGAACTACCAGCAATGTTAGATAAGAAAGCAGACAAAACAGAGCTTCAAACATTAAAGACAGAAATACTTCAAACATTATATCTATAGGTTCTATTTATACGTCAATGAACTCAACAAATCCAGCAACAGTTCTGGGTTTCGGTACGTGGGACAGATTGTAGATAAATTCTTATACTGTGCTAGATATTCAAAGCAAACAGGAGGTTCGAAGAAAATTACTGAAGCAAACCTTCCACCGCACACTCATACAGGAACGACAAACTTTTCTGGCGACCATAGCCACTCATTAAGAGACCACCCATTATACAACTCAGAGTATGAAGCTGGCTATGACGTTTTATCTCCAGATTATAACCATTCAGCAAAAAAGACTTTTCGACAAACTGAACCAGGAGGAAATCATTCACATACTTTCACAACAAATCCAACAGGCTCGGGTGCAGATTATATGCCACCATTTGTGACTGTATTCGCATGGTATAGAGTTCAATGAACGCGCTTGAGCCTAGAATAAAATCTTTAACTTTACATAAATGAGCTTGAAAGAAGTATTCGAACAACATCCATGGAGGTCATTTAAGAAGTTCAATGAAGCTGCAAAGAGTTGGGGATTTACTAACAGAGCTGAAGTGAAAAGGTTCTTTGACAAAAATGTTGTACATCAAACAAAAATAAACCCCTTACGACTACTTTTTACCAATTTACTCCAACACTCCTGACGCATACCAATTTGACACTCTCATTCAAAGCAGAAAAGGAGGACATAACCCATTCCTCATCTTCATTAATGTTAACACTCGCAAAGCATATGCATATCCAATGAGGAATAAAGGAACTCGTGAAGTGTTAAGAGTTTTACAAAAGTTGTAGCAGAACATAGCCCAAGTACTTTAACATCAGACCAAGACAGTGCATACCTCAGCAATGAAATCACAGATTTTCTCATTAAGCATAACATAACTCACTACACTACTGAAGACCATAACCATAACATACTCGGCATCATAAACCGCTTCATAAGAACGCTCAGAGATTTAAACCAAGAGCGAGACTTTACTGAAGAAACAATGAAACATTTTCTCGAAGTATATAATTCCTCAACACATTTTACAACAGGACATACACCAAATTCAATGACACAACAACAAGAAGAAAAGTATATACAAAAGAAACGAAGCCAAACACAAAATATCAGAAATTCAACACAATTTACCCTCATTCCTGGTACAAAAGTTCGTGTAGTTCTTGACGACAAACCGTTGACAAAGAAACGTTTAAGGTTAAGTAGAAACTATTATATCGTAGACTCTACGCAAGGTAATGGATATCTTATAAAAGCTGCTGACGACTCTATTGCGTTTTACCCTCGTCACAAATTAGTCGAAAGTAGTAATGGCAAACTTGCTGAAACCATTGACGAAGCAAAGCGAGGAGTGGTTATTGAAATACTTGGCTACAACATAAACGATGACACTTATAAAGTAAGATATGAAGGAGGCGTTGAAGATGTTATACCATCTAAGAACTTGAGAGAGTCAAAGCCAACACATCTGGGACCATTAGAGCGGGAGTACTGGAAAGACAAAAATAAGCCAGAAAGAATAAGAAAATTCTTCTAAACTTTTTCATTAGATGTAAATCAGACATGAATGAGAACAGTCATGTATTATTAATGGTACCATTTATTTTTGTCATAAATTTACACCAAAAATATATTTTAGGTGAAGAGGTGAGATCTCACCCGTTTTCTAACCACTTTTCTAACATGGTCTAAAACACACAAAACTCATGAATTTTGTGTGTTTTCAGCATTATTTTTTGCATTATGACACGAAGTGAACTTTTGCACTTCGTCAAAAACTCATGAATTTTGTGTGTTTTCAGCATTATTTTTTGCATTATGACACGAAGTGAACTTTTGCACTTCGTCAAAAACTCATGAATTCTCATGAATTTCCTTAAGATAGAAAAATAAAAAATAATTTTTAGGGTAGAATGTTAGATCTAACATGCTAACATAAACTTTATTTTTATTGAATTCAGCACAAAAATAATGAATTTCATTAGTTAGAAAAATAACGCTAATTTTATTTTTATTTATTTTTTTATTTTGTATGTAAAGACAGTAATGACAAACATTGAGTTTGAAACAGTTAGAAAGATAGACAATGACACCAAAGTGGTTAGAATAGGTGATTTAAACGTAAGAGACTCAAAGAAATACAACAATATTCTTTGTCAGACATTATATCTCCATCTGGAAAGAAAACAAACGACTGGGTTAGAAATGCTTCAACTCAGAAAATTTTGACAAGAAATCCTGAGCTTATGATATCAGTAGCATTTCATGGAACAAGAGCATATCTTATAGACAAAAGTCTTATACCAATAGTTTTGTTATGGTTAGACCCAGTTGTTGGATATAACTTCATAACATATGGTTCATTCGATACGGAACGTTGCAGTGAAGGCTTACTTTACATCGTTCAGAAACCGAAGGACTTCAACACAAAAAGATATAAGATAGGAAGGACATATAATATAACTCAAAGATATGACAGTACAGTCAATAGAGTCAAGGTTGTGTTGTGTTAATGATATGAGAGCTGCTGAAACAGAACTGCTTGAAGTTTTTGAGAAAATGTATGGTGCTCCCACGAAAGGTAAAGAAACGTTTGAAGTAGATGAGATAGATAAAGCTATAAAATTATTTGACGAAGTTGCTGAAAAATACATGTAAAGCGTTTATTTTGGTCTTTTGTGAAAGTCAGAAAATAAAGTTAGTTTTATTTTTATTTATTTTTTTATTTTGTATGTAAAGACAGTAATGTCAACATTAGAGAACACAACAACAGTTATAGTCCATGAAGCTATAAATGAAGAATACGAGTACATACAGTATAACAAACAGTTACGTCTCATTCGTTCAGTCAAAGATGACATGTACCAAATGCAAAGTATAATGAATGCTCTTCGTTCTACAAAGCAATCATATCATTGGTTTGAAAACCAACAGACAAAAGAACTTTTAGAAGAATTTCCTCATATGATTGCTTCCCTCGGAAACCGAGAGAAGAGATTCCGTATGAAAATCGCAAGAATTTGGCTCCTGGTTTGAAAGGTTATTATGTTCATAGACTTTTAGTAAACGCTGTAGCAATATGGGCTTCACCTCGTTATGCTTGTTATATTTTCATGATGTTAGATGAACTATATAAAGCAGAACGTGGAGAGATGGAAAAGAAACTTCATGCAAAAGATGAAGTCATTGAATCCAAAGACAAAAGCATACAGAAAAGAATACCACGTTCAGTACCAAAAGGAAAGGAAAAGAGTTATAGGTATATGATATATACTGAAGAATTGGAGAAAGAAGAAGATAAAGATATGGTTATGTTGCATTTAGTCAGAAGAAACAACAAGAGCTTTTATGACTTAGCTAAAATATATAAATCTGACAGAAACTGGTTCTATCGTGAAAACTTACCGATTTCAATGACACCGAATGAGCAAATAAAGGAAATTGTCAAAAATACTCTTCCTCAAACACACTATGACATCAAAGGTTGCACAATACTTACATTCAAAGAAGACTTAACATTACTGAAGGAAAAAATAACAGAATATTTCGATAACTTCAAAGAGGAAGAATGAAGTCACGACAACATTAACGAAAAGAGAATGAGGTGAAAAAAGAGGTGAAAAAACGGGTGAGATCTCACCTCTTCACCTAAAATATATTTTTGTGCTATATTTACACTCATTTACGAAGAAGTCATGAATCCTACGTCAATTATGTTCGACACTGATAACATAAACGATAACATTAACGATAACATAAACGATAACATTAACGATAACATTAACGATAACATTCATTTTTGCATTAATCCTGGACTGTTGTCATAATGTCATGTTGTCATCATTTTTAAAAGAAGTTAATTAACCTGGTAGCACATGGTGACGTGGTGACACTTTCGGTTATTCAAAAATATATTTTTGCTTAAATAACTTCAGGGTCTATTTCTTCAACCATTTCACTTCCTTCGTCAATGTCAATAGAAGCTTCTTCAACCTTTGGTAAGAATTTCTGTATAACATCTTTGTTCGTTATTGTCTTCAGAGATGAAGGATAATATTTCACATTTGTTTCACCCTTCTTATATTCTTTCTGTTCGGAAAGATTTAAAGCAATACTGAAGAAGTCAATATTAGAGTTCTTTATAACAGTATAATGAGTATCTTTGACATTCACGAAGAAACTCTTTTGTTTCAAAACTACTGCTAACTCTTGTGAAGTATAACGTTTGCGGTCAATGACGATAGCTAATGGTCTGACATACTGACCAAACTTAGATTCTTTCACAAACTTCTTGTTAAAGATAACATTAACATTTGAAGCATTATTGAACTCATTCTTGATGGCAGTAGCGAGAGCATTGTATGAAAAGAACTTGCAATCTTGCATGTGTTTCATTAAAATAAAAATATTAAATTATTTTGAAAAATAACTTTAAAAAATCTAATCTAATTTTTTCAAAAATATTTTTTTATTTCCTACTAAAGATGTATCGGAAATTGTCTAAGTTAGAACACTCGGAAATAAAACAACTTCTTACAGAAGCTAACATAGAAGTAGCAAAGCATTACGCAACAAACAAAAAAGCACTCGCTGACATCCTCAATGACTATAATGGTGCAATAAGTTATGATAGAATTCATGAGTTCATAAAGCCGCAACGCGGCGAGGACGAAGTCCATGCAAGAGCATTTCCTTTAAATGACGTTGCTATTGACTTATATCATAGACGTTCAGTACCTCATGAAGTAAGAAGAGAAATGTTTGACATAACAAATGCGAACGTTGGTCATACTCGTAAAGCTCTTTCGCATGATGTTCGTCAAGAGATGTTTGACATAACAAATGCAAACGTTGGTGAAACACGAAAGAGAGACGACACACTGAAACAACAGAGAAGAGAGATGTTTAAGAGCGCTATAGAACAAGTTCGCAAAGCTAACGATGTCATTCGTTCCATTGACGACAAACCAAAAGAAGGTGAGAGATGGTTAAAGAAAGATGAAGAGAATAGGAAGAGAAATGTGAAGTCAGGCAATAGACTCATTGACTTTAACATCGAAGCTTTAGATGAACCAAACAGAGACTACTTACACAAACATTTCGGTAAGGTTTTCATGAGACTCTTAGAGAAAATTAAAATAAACTCACAACAGAGATGGATGGTATGTTATAAACTTGGTGGAAAGTATGAATGTTCTACGTTAAACCTCAATAATATTGGAACATTACTACATCAGCTCTTGAAGGAGAACTTTATATCAGAGATAGAAGCAAATGCTGCAGGTATTGTTGAAATGCACTATGACTTCTTCTTGACAAACATAAAGAATCTTACTGAAATAAAGATGTATGATTTAACAGAATATGAAGGCTTAACGATGTCAGATGTAAAGAAAGGCAAACCAAAAAAGAGACCATATAGAGATGAAAGCACACTGACAGAAAGACAGAAAAGATTATTGAACAGACTTAAACAAACAGGAGATAAACAAGATATAGATGACTTCTGGAATGAAATCCTTGGTGAAAAGAAGTTTTATAAGAAGAGAAGCGGTCAGTTCTGGAAGTATCTTTGCACATTACCTATAAATCTTGAGCGCTACCAAATCTTCAATGAATTGAACAAAAGAACTGCAGCACTTATGACAGAAGACAATTGTTTCGTTTATGCTTGCATTCAGGCTGAAGTAGATGAAGAAACTATTGACCACATGAGAGAAGTCATTCGTGTTAGAGACTTTCCTCAAAGTAAAGTACAAGAAATTTCTGACGCAACAGGTATAGCATTTAATGTTACCATTGGTTACTTCAATGACTCAAGACATAATGAAATAAAGAGATACATACCAAAAGAATGTGAAACTGCTCGAACTATTGACTTACTTCTTGTTGAAGACCACTACATGCTAAATGAAAGATTACCAATGACAACATATTTCATTCGCAACTATATAGAAATCTTGAAGGAGTGTGGTGGAATGAACATTGAGAAACAGATGAAGATTTATACAAAGAGAGATGGTAAATACATTGTTCGCATGGATAGAACTACACCGCTATGGGATGTTATGAAAACATTGTGGGAGTGCAAATATTTCGAACCTATTTCTTATGGAGAACTTTTCACATATACGACTGACTTATATAAACAGAACTTTGCACCATTTAAAGATTTGACATATGCTCCAAAGTATTGTGTACAACTGAAGAAGAAAGCAGAGTCAAAAGAAGTAAATAAAAATAAGTGCAAGTTCATTCCTGAGCACGTTTTCTTTGCTGACTTTGAGTGCAGTACCGATGGCTTTCATAAAGCTTTTAACATCTGTTATGACAGTGAAGATGGTTCAGTGAGTGAAAGCATTTGGGGTCAGAACTGTGCAACAGAATTTTTGGAGCGACTTCCTGACAAGAGTTTAATATATTTCCATAACCTCAGTTATGACATAAACTTCATCTTAAGACACATGACAGAAGTGAAAGGAACTCCCATCATTAAAGGTTCACGAACAATGCAAATAACTGGCTTATATAAAGGAAGGGCAATTATTATAAAAGACTCTTACAGTGTTATAAATAAGAAACTTAAACTATTTCCTGCTATGTTTAACTTACAAACAGGACCGAAAGAAGTATTTCCATACAACTACTACAGCAGTGTTTTGTTAGCAAATGACAACAGAACTGGTGTCATTTCTGAAGCATGTAAGTTTGTAAAAGATATTGAAACGTTCATGAAGAACATAGATTCCATCAAAGGTTGCAGAATAGATGAGAACCACTTCGACTTAGAAAAATATAGCACGTTTTATTGCAAACAAGATGTAAGAATTTTAAGAGAAGGTTTTGTTAAGTTCCGCAATGACATATTGAAAGAATTTGATTTAAACGTTTATGACTACGTTAGTATTTGTTCAATTGCTAACAAATTATTTGAGAACAGAGTGTACTTCCCGAATGGAAATCTTTATGACCTCTCAAATAAACCAAGAGAATTTATTTCGAGATGCATTCAAGGTGGAAGATGTATGTTGTCAGATAACATGAAACAAAAGAGCAAAAAGAAACTCATTGCTGACTTCGACGCTGTTTCATTATATCCATCCTATAGCAAGATTGTATACTTTAGAAGGAATTCCAAAAGTATTGAAGGATGAGATGTTAAGCACAGAGTATCTCATGAGACATTTATTCGATGACGACCAAAAGGAACCCATTGGTGAAAAGTTTATGTCCGGCTTCTTTGTTCTCATTAAGATAACAGAGATTGGAATACATAGACACTTTCCTTTAATAGTTTGTGACCCTGAACTAAATCCAGAACTTAACGTTCCCAGAAGTTCAAACACTTGCTGTTCAATGTATGTTGACCATATAACATTACAAGACCTCATAAAATATCAAGGTGTCAAATGTGAAGTGTTGCAAGGATACTATTACGATGGAAACAGAGATATTAGAATAAGAGATGAAGTAAAGAAGTTGTTTGAGTTAAGGTTAAAGTATAAGAAAGAAGGAAATCCTTTGCAAGAAAATATAAAGCTCATTCTGAACAGTATTTATGGCAAAACTATTCTATCTCCTATTGAGTCAAAAATAACCATAGTAAATGACAAAGATGCTATAAGATATGCCATCAGAAACTACAACCATATAGTGAAGTTCGAAGGTTTGGATGGTTCAGATAAAACTATTTTCAAGCTAACGAAAAGCATTTGCAGACACTTTAACTTCTGTCCACTTGGTGTTAACATTCTATCTATGTCGAAGAGAATAATGTGTGAAGTATTCTGTACTGCTGAAGACTTAGGAATGGACATCTTTTATAGCGACGACAGTATGCATCTCTACAATGAAGATATCCCTCGTTTAGCTGAAGAGTTTGAGAAACGTTATGGAAGAGTTCTCATTGGTAAAAACCTTGGTCAGTTTCATAGTGACTTCGCAGAAATAACACCTGGAAAACAAAGTTTAGCATACAAGTCAATATTTTGTGGAAAGAAGACTTACATAGACTTACTCACGAATGATTTAAATGAAGTTGCATTTCACTGCAGAATGAAAGGCGTGAAGCAAGATGTTATTGCTTTAACCGCTAATGAAATGTTTCCTGAATCTGTTCAGTGTTTCTATGATGAAGATAAAGGTTTAATGGTTCCGCAAGGAAAATTTGACAAAGACTCTGAGTTCAGTGTTATGAAGTTATATAAAGCACTTTATGACGGTCAAGAGATTGGATTTGACTTATGTAAGTCATGTCAACCTTGCTTTGAAGAGAAGTTTAACTTCTCAATAACGACTAAAACAAGCTTTATTCGTAAGTTGAAGTTCTGAGGTCATTTATTTTTGTCAGCAGTGAGGTCATGAATGAGGTCATGAATGAGGTCATGAATGAGGTCAGCAATGAGATCATGAATGAGGTCATTTATTTTTGTCAGCAATGAGGTCATTCGTGATAAAAATAAAGCTAGCGTAGATTTTACAATACAGCTATTGTAGAATTTAAGAGTTGTGCTTCAATGTAGAGACAGTCCTTATGGTCTGGAGGTAAGAACACTGGGCAGTTATGGTCATGAGTGGAGAACATGTCTATCCAAAACTCACGATTGAAGCCAGTTAATTTATAGTATTTAGGATTTGGCAGTGGTGTAGTTCTTGTATGACCAATGAACTCATTTTCAACTCCCTTACTTAAGTTTGAATATAATATAGCTTGCTTTCTATCCCAAATGCCAGGTGTTACAATCTTTGAAAATTCATTTTTCCTCGGAAGCATTGCATCATAATTGAAAACATTCTTGAAATCATCACTTGGTTCAGAGATTTGAAATCTTATACGTAATGGATTTTCTTTTCTTTGCGACTTCATTGAATGGTGAGAATACAACAAACTGACAGTCATGTGTTCCATCTTCATTTTCATTAAATTCATAATGAAAGTCTATAAGTTGTGGCTGACTACCTTCTTCTTTCAGTTGTGCAAAAACTCACGTAAAGGCTGTAAAGTTTGTACTTCAATGTTGAACTTTTTCTCGAACATCTCATTAAATGAAATCATACATTGTTGCAATGTTGTATCGTCTTTAAAGTATTTGTATATGTGAATGTTTTGGGCGCTTAAAGACTGTTCGTCATTTTCTATCTCGACTTGAAGTATAAAGTCAACCTTTCTGAAAGCACGTGTTATATACATAGATGTTATGCCAATGTACTTCTCTTCATTTATGTTCACAATCCAGTCTGTTGGAAACTTAAACGTTACTCTGTTCCCCTTTATTTTGACGTCAGGGTTTTCACTACTGAACGCAACAGATAAAGGTATTTGTCTATACATTTAATTCTGATAAAAATAAACCATTTACTCTTTCTTTGCTTCAGCTTTTTTAGCTTTTGCTTCAGCTTCTTCTCTAGCTTTCTTCGCCAGCAAACGTGGGTTCTTCTGTCTTCCAGCAGCTAATGCAGCAAGTTGTTTTTCACTAAGTTTTCTCTTTGGTCTCTCTGGATTTTGTTCTTGTTTTTGTTCCTTCAGTTCGGATAAAATTTGCTCACGAATTTCTTTCTTCAATGCTTCAACATCTATGACCCCTTGGGTCTTGTCCGTAGGGCTTGTCTGAGTCATTTGACTGCAGATAAAAAACAAAATTAAAACTTTAACCGATGTAAAATGAGCTTGTCAAAATCAGAGCGAGAGTCTATTATATTAAATGACGCAAGAGGAATACAACATCCTTTCTATTACGTAAGTCAGAGTAAAGATGGTAAAATATACGTAAGAAAAAGAAAGGTTCCATTAGCGAATGCAGAGAGCGACAACATTAAGGTGTATGGCAAGGGTGAAGTCCACGAAGCCCATGTAAGCCTTCTATTCAAACTGAAAAGTCAATAGAACAAGAAGAAAAGAAGCCAGATGTACTTTCAATAACGAACCAAGAGCTTATTGCAAAGTTCGTGAATTTCATTGAAAAACAAACCGAGTCAAAGAATCCTGACCCGCCAGTGAAAGAAGTTGAGACAAAAGAGAATGTACAGTTCATTGAAAATGTCAAGAAACAACTTCCACCACGAATGCCAAGAAGAAGAGTGAGAATAATGAAGTAAATAGATATTTTTATCCGAAGTAAATACATGCAGAACGAACAGCTAAACGAATTTACTCCAGCAGAGCATATTCATCAGATTCGCTCATATTTCGATATCATAGACAATGCAGTTCAAATTGGTGACACTAATAGAAAATTTTGATAGCAGCAAAGATTCCATCACAACCTGGAACTGCTAAAGATAACACATGGGTAACATTCAATCTCTCACCTCCTGGTGAAAATATGTTGGACCTTTACAATACATTCATTACGTATAAAATGGAAGGTCAATTTATTGTAGATAAAGAAATTGGTTCAGGTTCCAATAAAACAAACCCACCAGGATTTTGGATTGGTTTCGATGACGCTTTCTATGCAGTTGCTGGATATCAAATCCTTGCAAATGGTCGTATCGTATATTCTCAAGACAACGCAAGAGAAGAAGCATATATAACTTCAAACTCACAAACTACCGAACAAATAAAGAAAGTAGATGTTTTCTCAAAGACTCGACATGAAGATGTATGGAGTCATTCGGGAACATGCAGAACAGGACAAATTGTTAGTGGTCCAATTACAGCAGGAAAATCATTTGATTTTAAGCTTCGTTTAAGAATTCCTGTTAGAAGATTCCTTCCATTAGAAGCTATTCGATTTATTCCAGCTTTGCAGGAAACATTCAGCTTAAAGTAAAGTTCAGTAGCGACGCCTTACAATGCACATCTATATCTGTAAATGATATCATTGCTTTCAATCCAACTCTTAAAGTTGCATTTGCTTCAGATTCAAATCCACCGACAAATAAATTTGTTCCATGGAATGAACCATTCACTATGATAACGAAGGCAGTAAAGCTAGTGGAACAGTTACTATTACAACTGTAACCCAGCAACTATTTCGAACAAAGATGGATTTTAATGAATGTTTCATTCATCCAAAGTCATTCTCTTTAGACCCTAACATTTTATACAGAACTTGTAGAACATTATACAAACGAGGCTTTATGTTTTCCTGTTAAAGTTATGGATTGGATTCCTATGGACGGTTCATTCTCAAAGAATACAGATAGTTCAAGTGCAACATTTACAGCAGCTTATACGCCTATTAATGTTAAAAGTATTTGGGCACTATTTAGAAAGAAAGACAACTATTATGTTAATTTTGAGAACCCTAAGTTTAAATATCTTCAGCTTTCCATGGGAGCTTATGGAAATATGCCTGCAGAACCTGAAAAATCATATGGACCTGTATTTTATGAAATGGTTGCGAACGCCCAATACAACAATGATATGATAGGATTTAATGAAGATGTTATGAGGTCATTGGTGGATGATGGTAGTGTGGAACATAAATGGGATAGCTATGACAACACACATTTCTTATGTGGTTTTCCAACAGAAGTGGACTTTTGCTTCCAGCAAGGTCAAACATCTACTGCTCCAATAACATACAAATTGTCTGTTAAAGGACCTATTGAACTAGCAACTGAAAACGTACCAAAGCCACTTATTGGATTTATGAGGGATTGTTGCTTTGCCATTCAGGTGCGTACTAATGGCATCCCCATAATAAGATTAGATGACTATAACTTAGCTACGGGACGACAGTGAGGAATAAAGGATGAACGTTTATTTTTTAAAGCTTATAAATGAGTTCTTCATCAAGCTCTCGTGAACTTCACCATCTATGAAACAAACTTTACCAAACGATTATGGAGCACCTATTGAATATTTCTTACGAGCTGCACAATGGCAAAGAGCAGTCCTCACCAAGGTTAGGTGTTCCACCAGCTCCTGTCAAAAATAGCATTTGGTCAAGTCCTTATATAAATATGGTCTCCCACTAGGTTTGCTAGCTACAGCAGGAGCAGTTATGATGTTGAAAAGAAATAAAGCAAATGTTGTAAATAATACTGAAGTAGCTGAAGTTAAACAAACTCCACACCTTCACAAGCAAAACCTTCAATGACTCCTGAACCTATGGAAGTACAAACTCCTGTTCAAAAGTCAACTCCTAAACCGACTCCAACATTTAAACCAGAACCTACTCCTCAAATAAATCGTAAAACTCCTGCGTTTTCCTTACTGAAAAAATAACGTTATTTTTATTTAATATTAAAATTTTTATTTGATTGAAATGACGACTAAAGTCACTGAAGCAATGAAACAAAAGTTTTTGGTAGAATACATTAAATCAGGAACTATTCCAGAAGGTTTTACATTCATACTATGAAGGATGGTAGAGTTCAGTTTAGAAAGATAAAGCAACCATTAGAATCGAGAAGGAATTTTGAGAAAGATTAAACTTCATGAGGACAACATTGCTGAACTTAAGAAGAAGTTAGAAGAGTTGGAGAAAGGAAGAGAGTTATAAAGCAATGAATTCAACAGGGTGAAAAAACAGGTGAAAAAAGAGGTGAGATCTCACCACTTCACCTAAATTTATTTTTGTGCTATGTTTTCATACGTGTGAGGGTGGTGATATCATTAATTTTTATTTTATTTTTTATTTTATTTTTTATATAAATGACGAAAACTATTGAGATAACAAACTACAACGGTCATGAGTTCAAGAATTTGTTCTTCGTTCCTCGTGAAAATACATTCTATCAGATACGAGGGAGAAAGGGTAAAGTTAGTTTGAGCGTTTATGAACAAGATAATGGAAAGTTTATACAAGCATACGATACAAACGGTAAGCGTGTTTCATTAGCTTTGTCAAAACTTACTAACATTCATTTTGACAGTGATTTTGACCTATATGAAGAAGAAAGTGAGTCAGAAGATTATGAGCTGTTATGTGAAGCACAGCAATGGGAGGAGTTGCAATACTTTTGTAAGTGAGAACGTTTATTTTTTACATTAGTGAGGTGAAGTGGTTGGCGGCTTTGTAAAGTGTCAAATTCACAAGTATTGGGTAAGGTGGAACGCAGTGCCGCCGTACCCATGACTTGTATACTAACTATTGAAGGTTTTGCTTGTGAAGGTGTTGGAGTTTGTTTAACTTCAGCTACTTCAGTATTATTTACAACATTTGCTTTATTTCTTTTCAACATCATAACTGCTCCTGCTGTAGCTAGCAAACCTAGTGGGAGACCATATCTTATATAAGGACTTGACCAAATGCTATTTTTGACAGGAGCTGGTGGAACACCTAACCTTGGTGAGACTGCTCTTTGCCATTGTGCAGCTCGTAAGAAATATTCAATAGGTGCTCCATAATCGTTTGGTAAAGTTTGTTTCATAGATGGTGAAGATTCACGAGAGCTTGATGAAGAACTCATTTATAAGCTTTAAAAATAAACGTTCATCCTTTATTCCTCACTGTCGTCCGTAGCTAAGTTATAGTCATCTAATCTTATTATGGGGATGCCATTAGTACGCACCTGAATGGCAAAGCAACAATCCCTCATAAATCCAATAAGTGGCTTTGGTACGTTTTCAGTTGCTAGTTCAATAGGTCCTTTAACAGACAATTTGTATGTGCGGTTTTGCCAGATGTTTATATGCCACTTTTTGTTCAGGTGGGCACAAAAAAGCTACTCGGTCAAAGTGTTGTCACACCGTTTTCGTAAAATAGGTCCTATCTCATTCTATAAGGGGAAAGGCTTCTCAAAGTATAACTTCCTTGGAACGCCTAGTAAACTTTTCCTGTAGCGACGATAGACCCTTACTTGTCCGGACAAAGTTATACTATTTTGAGTGTTCTACAAAAAAGTCACAGCGACGACTCTCAAAACCGTTGTGTAAAAAGTTTTAACCTGTTGGACA